TTTTCCAAGCAGGAGGGAATTTTTAATATTGCATTACTCCCGTAGATATATATCGATTTCAGTTTGGTTTGAAGTCATTCCACTCGTTGAGTCGTAAGGAACTAATGTATGTTAATTGCATTAAATAATGCGATAGAGAGACTGGCTACTGGTTGGACGATGGAAGTGTCGGAGTTTAAATTCTAGTAGGGTCAAGCATTTTGTCTTCTCCACGTCGTCAAGACCGGCTCCTGGGCTAACCCAGCCTCCAATCCAATGGGTATTGAGGGCTCTTTCCCTGGCGGTAAAGCGGCCGGGGCATGAAGCTAACCACTCACCTCAAATTAGTGCCGAGGTCAAGAAAACTTGGACCTATACACGTACATCCACCTCCATACCTCTTCATGGTGTAGTGCTTAATTGGCTAAGCACAAGGACAACTTTACCTTAGCTTACCATAAATCATCTGTCAGACGGTAGTGGAATTCAATGCCAGGGCAGTTCGTATAATTGCCTTTGTTAATAAAGTATCACTGGTACAAAGGCACTCACTGAAGGGAAATAAAGTTGTCTGTCACACCCTGGATCTTGAAAATATCAAGAATAAAGAAACAGTAAAAATTAAACTCGTTAAAAATTCTTCTGCTCTGAATACCCTAGGATTATCTGCACAATTATTATTTAGACGTTTAAATCTAAGTCTGCAAGGTAGTTCACAGGCCACAAACCTCCCCTTGAAATAAGCCCCGATGGCGCCCATGGCTGTGACAATTTTTGCCCGAATTCTCCGATTTCGTTTATGTGAACATATTTTCTCTTGTTGCTGTTCCTGAGGATGAAGTACACCCGACCAGTCAGCTTCCTAGCTCGGTCTCGGCTGTCGCCCCACATGAGACGCAGGGCCGCAGAACTTAATTCCTTCAGTCCGGACAAGTGCTGTACCTCAAGAACCCACTTACATCTTCAGTGCCTTTCCTGAAACTTCAGATTTTCCTCCATTTCCTTCCCTCAACGTCTCACAGCCCTATGGGCCTTCACGGCCTCTTATAGGGATAGCTTTACTTACTTCTATTTCCTTCGCTATTTCTTGATCAGCAAAGCTATGTTTTCTGTAATGTTGCAGAGGGCTTTGATGTTTCTATTACGTCTAACTTGCGTATTCATGCAAAATTTGTCCCTACGATTAAACAATTAAGCATCACTTGAGACAGTGCTACAAGCCAGAAGGTCTCGGATTCAATTCTCGATGAGATAATTGGATTTTTTCAATTGACCTAATCCTTCCAACCGCACTATGGCCCTGGGGTCGACTCGGCCTTTGACAGGAATGAATACCAGGAATCTTCCTGGGATAAAAGGCGGCCGGCGTGTAAGGCTGACAACTTCGCCGCAGTCAGTGAGCCGATTGTATATAAAATGAGGGAGCCTCGACGTCTCACATCCCTATGGGCCTCCACGGCCTGTTGCAGGGATAGCTTTTTCTTCTTACTATGCCATGAAGACAAATGGCGGAGTGGAGGTATAGCTTCACTCTTCTTGACCTCGACACTAGATGGAAGTGAGTAGTCAGCTTTACGCCCCAACCGCTTTATCCCAAAAAATCCCCCGATACCCAATTGGATAGGAGATTGTGTGGGCCGTAAAGCCGGTCAGGACGCTGCTGATTATAGAAAAAAAATCCGTCCCTGCCGAGAATCGAACCCCGACAGTCCAGCCCGTAGACCGGCTGAGCTACCCCTGCTCCTGCATACAAACACTTGAGCCAGGTAGGTAGCTCGGTCAGTATGCAGACCAGGCTGCGAGCTGGCTGGCGGGGAGTCGGGGTTCTGTCCTTGACAGGGACAAGGGTTTTCTCTTTTATCCACTGCGTCTTGACCGACACTGGGGCCGCAGAAATGTCTGACGTTAGCTCAAGTGCTGTAAAGGATTCAACTATCGTCACCCGTATTTTGCATTGCCTGACGTATATGGGGCCTTGTTACTCTGTTACATGGGAAAATTTGGAAGTGTCCCTACAGGGGCTCCCGAAAACAGTTGTGTTGCTGGGTCTACCTGTTAATAGTTCGTTCATGCACTGTGGGCCCCCACAACCCCAGCCCCAGTCCTCCCTTCCCTAATCACGCACCATTTTGCCCGCTCTGCTGACCCTTGTACAATGAAGATTAAGGCATCTCTGCATAATGGTGGTACTTACCTACAGAAATTACAAGGTATTACGTCCCAGAATGTGATACTCTTCGTGAATCTGTATGATTCTTAAGTTGCTAAACATCTCTTTATTTATCAGTTTATCAAGGACTGACGACTTGTCACATTGCTTTCTAAGTGTACAAATATGTTTACACTTTTCTGTTCAAAATTAAGGTTACACTCGCTAACAAAAAATTGCAACGATTTTGTAGCTGTAACTCCGTTAAACATTTATATCACTAAGACCAAATAGCAGATATGTTTGGAAAGCAGATGACGGACTTCTGAGTAAACGGACTTTGTCTCTATTATGAAGCACAGTCGGGTAGTGCTGAGCAGGATAATAATCGCTATTTATTCTAAAATAAATGATTGCTACAAATATAAAGCGTACAGCGTGAGGAAAATGTAATATTTAACGTCAAAACAAAGGATAGATCTGCATGCAGCCGTGGTTTCTATAGGTGTACCATTTAAAACTATTTTTGACGAATTTTCAACATACACGTAAGCTGCGATTACTTCCCGAGATAACATTAAAAGCTTGTTTTTGTGGTGTAGAGGTTATGTGTGAGGTATGAATTAAAATTTTAAGGAGGCCTATTATAATGATCAAGTCAAGGAGGATTAGGTGAGCAGGGCATGTAGAACGAATGGGGGAGACGAGGAATACGTATAGGATATTGGTGGGAAAGCCAGAAGGAAAGAGACCACTGGGAAGACAAAGGCGTAAGTGGGTGGACAACACTAAAATAGATCTTAGAGAGAAGAGATGGGATGGTATGGATTGGATTGATCTGGCTCAGGATAGGGACTAGTGGAGGGCTCTTGTGAACACGGTGATGAACCTTCGGGTTCCATAGATTGCTGGGAAATTCTTGAGTAGCTGCAGAATTGGCGGCTTCTCCATAAGTTAGTAAGTAAGTAAGTAAGTAAGTAAGTAGGTCTATTATTTCGATGGCAGAAAGCTGGACAGGTATAAATGAGACTTAAGATGACCCGACTGCATTCGATAAAAGTATTCATAATCATTAGTTTCGTCTATAGCATTTACATAGACAAGAGGACAGACCCATTGCAGCTGGTCTTGTTTGTTGGTTGCCTTTATTGACCAAGTTGTTCTTGAACGTTATGTCTACAATTATAAATCTTGTATAATATAACATTTCAATTAATTCCTAAGGATAAAATGTTATTCAGCACACAATATTACAAAACACTTCAAAATTAAGAAAATAAGTTTCCAATTTTTAACAAAAGTTTTACAAAAATAGTAAGTTACAAAGTAGGACATATACCAAAAAACTCTGTGTAATAAATTTGAAGCGTAAAGCAAAAGTAGTAATATTATAATACAGTAATATATATTGTAATGCATTTTATTAATACATTAACTCGTAATTTATTAGCCTATCTTTCCTTCTCGAAATTTATTATTAGTTCTGTAGAAACTGTCCTGCCCCCTCAAAGTACAGACTGACTGGACTCGAAAAGGAACCATCCAGATGCAGGGCCTGTCCACATCTGTCGTATTCATTCAAATGTGCAAAAAGATATTGTTTTAATTTTTAACGTTGGACCCTGAAGCCCAGAAGTAAATGGTGTAATATATTCATACTCGTTGTTTCTTCCCAAATTTCATATATGAAATAAATTTGGGACTTAAAATTGTATTTAGAAAATGTGTACGTTCCTGTTGACTGAAAGATGTTCTAAGAAGGAAACTTATTCATAAATTTAACCTAAAAATTTTCATTTCAAAATATTTCAGAAAATAAGTCAGAGTTTCAGGCAAGACCTTTCCAGATAAAGAGAGAATCATAAGTTGGCCAAATAAGTTAGGATTATATATATATATATTAGCATGTAGACCCGTTGTTAAGTAATTACTCTGCAAACAACACCCCATGTTAGGCAACAGTTTCATAACACGGACCAATGGACTAACTGGGAAGAGATTTTTCCTACGGGGTCCGTGAGACAGCTGCAGCTGCGTGAGACAACAATAGTAACACTGTTGAAAACGGCGTTTTCTGTGCGGTCCTTGCCTAGGTGTTTAAAGCAGGACAAGTCTAGAATTTATTCAGTTGGGAGACAGTCGCCGGCCAGTAAGGGTTTGAACACGCAGGCTGAGGAAGCCGACATTGGAAGCCGTTACCAGACAATGACTGGTGAGGACATAGCAGACTGAAAAGACTTAGTACATGCTGCAGTGAATTGTAGCGTGTGTGAATTAGCTGGAGCTTTAATTATTTGTAGTTACGTTCTGTAAGGTTTCAATAAATCCAATTACCAATTCAAGCCCCGTCTGTAGTCACTCATATACGTGACAATGTATATATATAATCTAGGTTTGAAATCTGCTTCTAATATGTCCTTTCATTTAGAGTTTGTTAAGTGGAATTCTGAGTTTTTAAATACCATTAATNTTATCTTAAAAACCAGGACGATGGATAAAGTCCGAAAACCCAATATATTAGTGTGTTATACACCATCGTCAGAATCCTATAGTAACTACCATTAATTTACGTTCCTTCCTAAAACTTCCTAAGAATGATAAGACTAAACACACGAATAGCAAGACCCAATCGATTGCTCTTTAAGAGCATGTAAGATCGAATGTTCAGAGGCGGCTTCCTTGTGGGATACTAACTCAGGCACACGCACCACTGACTCAGAGGAAGTGACCGCCGAATTCGGGATAGAGACGGAGGACGACACGGAAGAGTGTGAGAGGAGTCGTCCAGAGGCAGAACGGGCCTGAGGCTCTCCTTGCAACTCAAGACGATCACTCAGTGCTTTAAGATAGAAAAGAATTGGCAGCAGCGAAGTGAAAAGACTAATTCTGTATATTTACTTTGTTAAAATGTACAGATATCATAACATTTGGTGATACAATTTTCTTTCTTGTTTCCGCAAACTGAGTGCAAATGTTTGCTCTTGTCAAGAGCTCATGAAAGATTAGTTCTGCCTCTGTTCTTGTCCTGAAACAGCCGGCTTATTTGCTGACTTCATTCAGTTGTCATCGTGATTGTCAGCGTCATTACTTTGTACAACTGATGAATGTCTCCTCAGAAGGGTTTCAGTCAGCATGAAAGAAAGCGGAAATTATTATTATTTTATTGGAAAATGAAGGAAATTGTAAATTGAATGGTTTGAGGAAATCAAAAAGAGAGAAACTAAACATCAACCTCATTTTCTTCTGAAGTAGCCCTTAGTTCTGAGACCAAAATACGAAAGAGTTAAGAAAACTATTTTGTGTAACATTGTTATTGTAGGCCTAATGCATTTTATTAAAACTATTTCATTGTTATGGTTCTGATGCCTGACTTGACTTGCACCTTATTTTATTTATGTGGTACTTCCGAGTGGGTTGAGTAGACCATATGGAAATCTTTAGGGAAATGATAAATGCATACAAAATTGTTTACGAGGAAAATTTAATGTGAAGTGATAGAATTTGCTAAACGTAGTTTCGGGCGGTTGGAAAATATTAAAACTATTCATTCATCTAGGATAAATTTTAGTCGCCGAATTTCGTGAACACAATTATGGTTATTTTGAGTCCAAAAAAAAAAAAAAAAGAAGACAAGAACTTATTAATCAGTTGTGTAAGTATGTACTTTCAAAGGAAACGCTGTTCATTGAATAAATTTCTCTTCTGTGATTGCTAGTTTGGCCAATAGAACAAAACTAGTCTTTGAGAAAACATAGGGTTTTATAGGTCATTTAATTTTTTTAATTCTCAAGTTAAAAATGAGGATATTTGATACTCTTATTGAAATGTACGTTCAGATGAAATTGATGTTCTCCCTGTGAAAGAGCGTTAAATAAATCTAACTTGTTTTGTGCTCTTGCCACTCTGAGAAGTCATTCCTCTGTTCTCCGCTCCTGCCTTCTACATGTGTCTGGTATTTCCAAAGCCTCCATGTCCAGACTGAGAAGCTCCTTTGTTGAAGCCCATCTGCAGATTAAGGTGACCTTCTGAAGCTCGGAGCTGATCCTCTGTGAATGCCCTCTTATTCTCTTCAGCCATTTTGGGTCCAAGTCTTGGTCCAGTATATTCTGGATGTTTCTGAGTCTAAAATAAATATGTTACGATTTAACAGCTTTATTTTGATGTTGCATTGCTCTAAATCACAACAATAACACAAGAATATTAAGTAGATTCAATTGGCTCAGGATAGGATTCCGTGACAGACTATTGTGAACGCAATAATGGAACTTGGGTTACCATTAATTTGGCGATACGGGAACTTCTTGGCCAGATGAATGACTATCAGTTTCTCAAGGATAACTCAGCTCCAATGGAATTGGTAAATATGTATTCATTTGCTGCCCAGAAAAGATTTTTTTAATAATAGTACAAAATTAACATCATAATTGAGGTGGCTGAACACTGGCTTCTCGCTGGGTGGGCGCGTATTCAATCCTAGGTAAATTCATATGAGATTCATAGTGCAGGATGTCCTCCGCGTTCCTTCGGCTCTCGCCTGCTGGTCGCTGTTTCATCATTGCAAGGCACTCGTCTGTTAGTGCCTCATGAGTTGCCTGACATACTTAATGAGACAGCGCATTGTTACAGCCACGGTCTTTAGAATTGGGGCGTCATATCTGGCCAGGAAATTGACCGGCTACAAAGCAACAAGCTGAATATTTTTGTGCATCTTTAGGATTATCAGAAATAGGCTTACTCAACCAGCTACAAAACAATTTAAATAAGCTGTCCCATGTTCTACATGAACACACTGAAACTATGTCATGAAGCTCCGATGGAAACACTACTCAGCAACTGATAACACTGCGAAACATGGCTACACCACTCTGCCTCTTAACAAAGAACATTTTACAGGTCTGGTTTCTTGCATACACACGACGAAGGTCAAATTCTGCTTTCATCAACAGAACGCAATTTGCAGTGATAATTTATGGGGCCATATCGAATGGTACTGCCCTTGTAAAATCTAGAAATTTCAGAAACAAAACTGAATGAATGCGTGTACAAGGAAAACGATGAAAAAGAATGAAAATATTTATAAATAAAAAACGTAAAACTTATCAAGCTGTCCCCGTAACCTGCCGTGGAGGCCCATAGGGTTGCGAGACGTCGAGGCTCCCACATTTTCTCTAGACAATCGGCTCACCGATGACGGTAAGGTTGTCAGCCTTACTCGCCACCGCCCTTTATCCCAAGAATATTTATAAGTAGTGATATTAAATATCTTGGATGCAAAGTACATTGTCAAATGAATAACTTTGCATATAATAACAGACTAATTAGAATGTACTGAGACACAAATTATAGATTACATGAGAAGAGATGATGGCACAATATAAACAGTAAAATCAGGTTTTTGTTTTGCAAGTGAATTTTGGGTGAAGCGGGTAAGAGAGAATATGTTAGAAGTCCCTTAATAGGCAAGGGCTACGGGTGCATTTGTGAGACAGAATGAACCTGTCAAGTGACAAGCAGAGAGATCTGCTGCAAATCGAGAAGAAACAAACCAACTAGCTAACTAATTAACTGTGTAGCTGAGTCATTCAGAAACCAATAGCTGCATAGCCACTAAAGAAATTCCAAGCATTTAACGAAACCCGAATGTTCATAACCGTTCTCAAAAAACCTGTACCTGGTCCCTGTTCTGAGCCACATGAATCGAACTCATGACAGAAGGAAATACAGATCAATAACATTTGAAACAGCACCTAGGTCTAAATATGGTGAAAAGCATTAGACAACCGAAGTAGACATGTATATTGTGACGTGCTGCCTAAAAGCCGGACTATGGAGCATAGTTCAGCGTTCGTTGTTAGTCAACGGATATCATTTCCTAGACAGCGGAATAGAACGCACCATGTAGGAGCCTTTGGTCTCGGCCGGTGTCATGTAACGAACCCTCTGTTGCCCTTCATCCCCGGGGGAAACGCGTTTGTTGTTTGGGCTATGCCTAGGCAACGGCCCACTGGTATTGTCTTTCCATGGAAGTATCCCTTCCAGCACGCGACAAATATATATAATTCCAAAAGAAGAGAAAAATGGAATGACCCAAAAGTAGATGGAAACACCAATTTGAAAGATTCTGGACATCGGATCGTGCTTGTAACACGCAGTCCTTTAGTTAAAACAGAAGGATGGAAAGAATGCCTATACTTACAAGTCTGCCGAGAGCATACAGACACAGAGTAACTTGCGGGATGTTCCTCCTTTCGAATAAGTCTGCGGTTTGGAATATCTCCTCCTCTGGTACGCCATACTTCTTCAGAGCTGCTTGGAATCTGTGAAGCAGGCACACATATTCCTGTAGTCGCATTTCTAACATCTGGGCGTGTGACTTCCTATATCTTACCCACTGTATTTTATCTCGTGGAATGGCTAATGTCCAGATGTTTTAAACTTAATCTGCCTTCGATATCCAGTAAAGGCAGGAATTTTTCATTTTTTGAGAACAGGCTACGGGGTCTAAGTTTCTTATCGATAGACAACAGGGACGTCTCCAAAGGGCAGAGCCACCAGTTTGGGTGCTGACTACTGGCCTTCAAATAATCCTGATCTGAAGAATGTGTTGAGCTTGACCTCTGTTCCCCCATACGCTTTCATGGCATGGCACTTACAAATTGGTTCAATTATGCTTACACGTCGCAATTGCTCAAAATTGAAAAAGTGGTTATGCCTTGCTCTAGGAGTTCCGAGGAATCTGGGAGGGTAAAATTTATTGTGTATTTTTACGGTATATTTTTAATTTGAATTTTACTTAGGTTTCTTGCAGTTTTAATATAATTCATATTACTGTTGCGTGTGTTTTAAGTGTAAAAGTAAAAATTCCTTCTTATTTTACAGTCGTAAAAGATAAAGATATCCCCGTAAGGGGCCCATAGAGTTGTGAGACGTCCAGGGTCCCACATTTTCTAGATAATCGGCTCACAGATGGAGCTGAGGTTGTCAGCTTTACGCGCCGGCCGCCGTTTATACCCCAGTAAGATTCCTGGTACTCACTTCTGTTGCCTAGAGTAACCTCCTTTCATATTTGTATATTTAGCCCTACGTTCTTTGTACTGAAGGAATTTCATTGACTATGCAAATATGAACCTAATTATTGGCTCAAACCCCACTTGGCGCTTTTCACGCAACATTAAAATGACTGAGTTATCAAGTCGGCCGTTGTAGCGTGAAGTTGTAAATTTGTATTTAGAATATATCTACTGGAATCTTGGCTGAGTTCTAGATTATCTTCATTTTTTCTAAGCATACAATGGATATTACCTTTAAATAACTACAGACTCCTACAAAATACTTATTCATTAATTATTATATAGACATCTAATTTGATATTATGGAACCTCCTCAATGAAACAGTATAGGAATCTGAATTGGATTGAACTGGCTCAGGAAGGGGACTAGTGGAGGTCTCTTGTGGACACGGAAATGAACCTTCGGGTTCCATAAAATGTTGGGAAGCCCTTGAGTAGCTGCACACTTAGCGGTTTCTCAAGAAGGGCTCAGCTCCGTGTGTGAGTGAGTGAAGAATCAATTAAGTTTTGCAAATATTTGCAGTAACATGTTTCTGATAAGCTCGCTGGGGATCTGTTGCGATTCTAAGTAATTTTTATCTTAATTATCTGCTATAAATAACTTATCGAACCTGTGTGAAATTTTTATTTTATAGGTTATTTTAAGACTTGTACTAACTATTGAACGAAACGTTGGATAGTGGGCTAATACATGAGTAATGAGTTGGGAGAAACTCCGAGGGAAGTGTTGTTGGCCTAGTGCACACATTATATGGAATTTGCCTGGAGGATTGAGTAAAACTGCGGAAATGTCAGTTCTCTCAGTGGTTCGAAGCGAGCACGTCTGGAACGTGAGTCTGGAGAGCAAGGCTATGCCAAGCCGCTTCATCCCAAAGAAAATTAATTATGTTTAAAACGGAGACACCGAGAAGGTTGGTCCAGCGGTTGCGCTATTCGATAGACGCTTAGCCTATATCAAACGTGTGGCGCGGTTCTAGGAACATTTGGGGTCAGTGGCTCAGTTAGGCAACACTCATTGCACGTGTCATCACATCAGCCTTCCTAACATCCGACGCTATATTCTCGGTACCGAAAACATCTCTTTTTAAAAAATACTATTGAAGTAAATTCCGGATACGGCGATAGAATTTTGAAAAAAGATCCAAGGTTCTGTCCACAAGTTTGAGGACAATAGATTAGAGCTTGGGGGCACGCGGCAGCGTAGTTGGTTGAGGTACTATGTTAGAAGCTGGAAAGTCACGGGTTCGAGTCCTGATGTGATCATTGAATTTTTAAATTGACCCAGTTCTTCCAGCTGCACTATGGCCCTGGGGACGACTCAGCCTCTAACAGAAATGAGTACCAGGAATCTTCGTGGGGGTTAAAGAGTGGCCGGTGCGTAAGGCTTACAAACAAACCGCAATTTGTGAGTCGATTGTCTGGGAGACTGGGAATCCACGGCCTGTCACAGGGATAGCTTTACCTTACAGATAAGAGCTTAATCTTCTTTTTCTTTCGAGTGTGGTGCCAGTAAATGAAGAAGAGATGGGGACAATTATGTGACATTCTTACGGCCACAAGTTGACTTCACAGCGTCCAGAGGTGTTCACTGGTCCATCCAGCCTCATATCAAACCAGTAACGGTGGCTCTTTCCCCCGTCTAATACGGCCTGGACGTAAAAGTGACAACTCGGCTACATTTAGTCTCGAGGTTAAGAAGTGTTACTGCATAATGAGGAGCTTCATAACGCGTGCTCTGCTCCAAGTATAATTAGAATGATCAAGTCAAGGAGGATGAGATGGGCAGTTCGCTTGCCGACTAAAATCACGGAGTTTGTTTTTTGTTTGTGTGTAATTGTGGTGAAGCGTGAGGAAACTGTTGTTGATGGAGAGCAACAGCTGCCTGTCGCTGTTCCCTGACAAGTCGTGGTCTGTTACTGCAAAAGTCTCTGGCGGTTTCTTATGAAACATTATTTTTAAACCAAATATTATCATCGACGTAAATAGAATTGCGCTTCTATATTACCTCTGTATGTTTTCCATGAGTTGGAAGTTAGTACCCTTGGTTTGTATCTTCTTGACGGAACCTGGCGCGATCTTGTTTATGAGGTTACAGAGGATGACGCCATCCCGCAAAACATCTTCATATGGCTGTGAGGGTAGCTTCTCTCCTGTCACTTCCTCGATCCACTGGAGGACTTCGCCCTCCTGCTCCTTGTTCCTAGCCTGTGGACACAGCAGCAAGTCATCAAACTCCCGTGGCCGGTATGGTCTAGCAGACAACATTTTGGGAAGGGCGTTACTACCAACACATTGGTCAATTAATGAGGCTGGAAATAGATATAATTGAATAATATTAATACAATTAAATATATCAACTCTGGCCGGTCAGGGTAGCCGAGCGGTCTAAGGCATGCACTGTCTTCGCTCGCTCGGAAGCCGGGATCGTGGGTTCGAATCCCACTCAGTGCATGGATGTCTGTGTGCGTTTTTCTGTGTTTGTCTACAGGTAGAGGCCTTGCGACGAGCTGATCACGCGCCCAAGGAGTCCTACCGAATGTGTAAGATCTAGTAAACCGAAGTAAAACGGAGAGTTTCATGGATGTAGGTCTAGGCCCAAATTGGGGCTGTAGCGCCACAGGAAAAATGGGACAATTTACGCGAGTACAGATTGCGACACCGTTAAGTTCATATCGTTACTGCATTTGTGACTGTTAAGTAACTGACCGTTAAACAACCCGCGACCGAATAGACGCAAAATAACAATGGGATTTCGGCGTTTTCTATGCGGTCGGCGCCATGACCTTTGCTATTCGATCGCTAGGCTTTTCCAAGGCGCACACAGGTCCGCGATTTGCACATGGCGTTTCAAGTCCCGTACGTATATAACTATATAACAAAATTATGCAGGCAACAGGCAGAAGTCACACAAAATCATGATAATGAGAATGTTCGCGACAGCGAACAAGGCGAAGCCCGCCACAGAAAGTATAAGAGGCTTAAACTTGGCGGCGGTCAGACATATGACCGTTCAAGTGACTAGACTGCCGTGGTAGCGAATTATCCTGGAAATAGGGCATAATCTGCTGTACTGAGCCTGGACTGACAGAGGCCTTATATATATTGTACATAGAATTAAGGATTAAGTGTGTATATGTAAATACAGACAGTGGACTTATTAATGCAGACTGACTGACAAATGACAGACCCGACCTCTCGTCAGAGAGGGCGCCCCAAATGAACAGGACAGTAACTTTCATATAAGAAAAAAAAATCTGGTCATGAGCCCCAGCCGAGGCTCGACACCAAGACAGACAGACTGACGGACCGTCAGTCGCAATGTGACTTTGACTTAAACACGTACCAACAATATAGGCTGTTTTCTGTGTGGTCGGTGCGGAGGCTATATAACGATAGTTAGAGACGGAACAGATGGGATTATCTGGGAGAGTTTGAGTGTGTTTTAGTAACAGCAAGAGTGAGAGCAACGGAAAGCGCGTAAATACCTGCGAAGATTTAAAGTGTGATCTGAAGATCTTAATTATGTGCAACATTTGGAGTGATCTGAAGGGCTGGTTCCTGTGTTTTCATTGCTTTACAAGGAAGGGACTAGTGTGAGTGTAACAGTGAATTATGAGGTGTACGTAAATCAGCGATAGCGCTATATTTAAGTGTAATTAAGTGAGAGAGTGTAACCAAGCTGCTAATGAATCCAATCATCCGAACTAGAACCCGTCATTTCGTCACGCGTACCCCCTACACGTGACAATAGGTTTCACGCCGCCACCATCTTGTTTTACGTTCTACAAGATAAGAATTGCATTAACAGATGTGTATTTTGAAAGGTCTTTCGCAGCATAGAACTTCGGCATTGTGTATTTTCGGCTCAGACGTTCAGACGTCTGCAGGTTAATGTTAGTGGTGGTAAAAAGATAAAGCTGTCCCTGTAACAGGTCGTGGAGGCCCATAGGTTGGTGAGACGTCGAGGCTCCTACATTTTCTGTAGACAATCGCTTCAAAGATGGCGATGTGTTTGTCTGCCTTACGAGCAGGCCGCCCTTTACCCCCCAGGAAGATTCCTGGTACTCATTTCTATCAGAGGCTGAGTCGACCCCGGGGCCATAGTGCGGCTGGAAGAAAATTTTGGAACGTGGGGACGATATCAATATCACGTATCATGGAAATCCGTCTGATTAAGAACTCCGTGATTTTAATCCGCAAGCGAATTATACCGACCGAGCGACCGCCGATTATCGGCGAAGTTAGTGCCAACTTTAGCGGGTAGAGGGTGTCACGTGGTCAGCGCAACGAATCCCCACAGCTTAGGCAATGCCCATCCGCCTTCTGTAGCACATTATAAACTGCTATTGTAGAATAAGATGTTTATAAGAATGTGCTACAGAAGACCGGATGGGCATTACCTAGGCCTTTTTGTATTTGGAATATTTTTTATACAACAAAAAATCCCCACAGTCGTTAATTTTGGTTTTCTAGACCGGAGCCTCTATTTCCTTGAAATAGCTCATCAGTTACCAGATTAAGAACATTGTTTCAACAATTACACTTCTCCGGTTTAACCCTGCTGCTGAAAAGTGTATGGAACCGCATGTGATTCTGAGGCTTCTAAATCCTCATATTCTTGTAAGATTCTGGCATAGCTAATTTCCTATTGAGGCGGGATAGCTCAGTCGGTATAGCTACTAGTCTCCTGGCTGGAAGACCGGGAGGAGAGGATTTCATTCGCGGTAGCAGCGAAGGTTTTCATCTCTTCACCGTTACGTCCAGACCAGCAATTAGGTCCAACCAGCTTACTGCGCAGTGGGAACTGGGGCTGTTCCCCAGAGGGTAAAGCCGTAGAGGCGTGAAGCGGACAAATCACCTTCATCTAAAGCCGAGGTTAAGAATGGCACTTCCACATTCATCATCATGGCGCTGTGCGTAATTAATTAAGCCAATTAGTTTTGAAATATAACCCCTGAATTCCTTTATTTTTTGGTTAAGGAGCTGTTGTGGAGGACAGACACACGGACTACTAACATTAATCTGTCTTCCTTTGTGCAAGGAAGACAGAGGTCACCAATACGTGCCCTAAAGATATCTTTCATCGCAGAGCGTAGCGTATCCTGGACGGCCCTGTCTCGTTTTGACACATTTTTACTTGCGTCATTCCAATGGAGAACTTACTGAGCACTCTGGAGCCAACTCAATCCTGACATCTCGCCGTTTACTCCGAAACGTCGTGGAAATATTTGCATGTTTACACCATCTCGTAAGTATCTGCAATGTAAGGCTTGATCCCTACAGAACATTCAAGAAAATTCCAGTTTGTCTAAGCGTGCGCGTCTCTGGCTCTGCTGTTGGGGGTGGGTGTCTCATGGGAGTCCGGAAATAGCACCTTCACTTCTGGCAGAGAAGCAAGATTAAGAAGGTTTTATTTCTTCGGCCGAAGCAGCTGTTATATCTCTGGCTCCTAACTTGTCGATACATCTGTTCCAACATTTATTTCATTCCCTAAAATACATCTGCTACTATACAAATATAAGTCGCGAATTCAGAAGTTACAATGCCAAAATAAAGGAAGTTCAGCCCTCATATTTAGATAGAATATAGTATTTGAACCACACATATCATTTAATATATTTGGGCGTAATTATACTATGTACGATCCGTGCCATTTCAAATATATATCTACATTCTCTTCAACACTGTGCTGTAATTACATGGCATTAACCGTGGAAGTTTAACCAAATCACGTATCCATAAGATCTCAATTACGTAATATAAGTTTACATTCTACGCTGAACGGAAATGAGGCAGTCACACGTGTTATTGTATTTAGATATATTTAGGCTTATATTTTATAGACCTGTGTTTTTTTTAATAGTAAACATGTGCATATGTCACAAAATATCTTAATTGTACTATTGTTTTTCATATTTCAGTTCTTCTTTTTCTTCCTTTTTTCTCTTTTTTGTTGTTATTTTCTGCTTTCTTACTCTTCTGCCTTCCATTCTATTCCTTTTCCTCGTTGCATACATAATCATCTCTCCAGTTTGTGACGTACTTGCGACAGAACTGAGCAATGAATTTAACGCAGTAGGTAACAAACGGCCGCTCACAGTGACCGCGCGGTCTAGGGCATGAATTGTTTTCCCCCGTTCAGACACTGGGACCGTGGGTTCGAATCCCACTTGAGACATGGATGTCTGTGTGCGTGTATTCTGTGTTTGTGCCCTCCTGTGTCTGCAGTTAGCGCCCTAGCGAAGCGCTGATCCCCAGTCCAAGGAGTCATATCAATGCAATCATTCTTTCAATGCAGGATCAGAAAACTGATTGTTATGACGCAATGGAAATAAATGGTGTCCTGATCTCAAAATTATGCGCTTCAGGTCTGAGAATGATACACGTTACATGACGTAACCGCAGAAATTACACCATTTAATTTCATTGAGATGTGAGACTGATCATGCGCAGTGAATTGGAAAGGGTTTCTGTCGGCGCCGCCACACTCCTTTTCAGGAATTATCCTTGCATTTGCCCGGTAGGGCTGGGTAAAACCAAGAGAACATTATTGTATAAGACTTGAGTTTTTCACATATAGGCCTGTAAGGACAGACTGCCCTAAGTAACGTCCACTCTTCTACCTTGAATACAGAGGCAGCAGTTTCTTCCGAAACATTGGAACATCTCTCCCAAACTACAGGGCTCGCATTGCAGAATATATTAATCACTATTATAGACTGTATTGAGTTATGTTCCAATCTGCTAACTCCAAGAACTGAGCCAGTTACTTTAGCAAAATGTAAAGTTGTCTCTATACTTAATTAATTGACAACTGCACCATGAAGACATAAGGAGGAGTGGAGGTATAACTCCACCATTCTTGATCTCGAACTAGAAGGAGATGAGCTGTCAGTTTCACGCCCCTGCCGCTTTGTCCCCGGAGAAAGAGGCCCCCTGTACCCATTGGATAGGAGGTTCGGTGGGTCCCAGAAGCGGACTTGACACCGTGGAGAACAAATAATTTTGCCCCTGCCGGGATTCGAACTCTAGCCACACAGCCAATAGCCCGTCGCTATACCGGCTTTTCCAAATACGATAGAACTAAACGAAAAATGTATTAACAATTCTCTTGATTTATGTATGTAACATTCAATATTCGGAAGTTCCTTATTCCCAACTTTGAAGAAATATGGACATTTATACGCATGTGCGTCAGTAATGGCTTCAACAAGCTCTCTTTGAAGCACTCGCTTTCTGCCATGCGCAACTCGTTGCATATTTGTAACTACGCCATTTTAGGCATCTGTTATCCCCCGAGTCGGTCTGACACACTTGGCGTGTCAAGTCTAAAAGTGTCCTGGTGCCAAAGAACGTCATAACTGGTACACCCTAATTACAAAGCAGGAACGCGTAGGGACACGTACACAGCTGGAGCACAACTTCCTGCCGTGCTGCTCTGTGATTTACCAGAATTTACAGAATTTATAAAACCTTTGTATGCAGGAGATATTTTATCGAAGCTAACAAACCGTGACGTTAACAGAGAAGCTTGTGTTGTGATTATACTTCAGATTTATTTTAGCAAATTACATCTCTGAATTTATGTACGCATTTCTCTAAAATGTATGTCCCTGGCGTTCATGATTTTGTGACATTCATATTGAAAGAGAGATTACATTAGACTCAGTATTAGTATTATTATCATTATTAATAAAACTAATTTCCCTGCTGGTACAGTAGCTGGAGCGTGAGGGTGATCGCTCCCATTTCGTGTAAAAGTCTCAAATCCTTCACTTTATCGCCCCACAAACGTCTTAACTAAGGAAACATTATTATTATTATTATTCTTACTACTATGTGTTCTAACATAGTCCTACTAGTGACAGGGTGGGGGTGCTGTTAGTTTTGCTGACAGTTACGTCCAAATTAGCTGCATTACGTTAGTCTTCGACAGATCTTTCCTCGGAGATAAAGCGGCCGGAGCGCAAAGCTAGCCACTCACAGCTATTGACACTCTTAGGAATGCCTTACGATCTACTTCCGTCTGCCCTGCACATCATCTTATGATTCTAGGCACATGGAACAACTTTACTACCACTACTACTACTACTACCACCACCACTGATACTGCTACTGCTCCTACTATACTACTTATACTACTACTGCTGCTGCTACTGATACTACTATTTCTTATACTACCACTAGCAATTCTGCTACTACTACTACTACTACTACTGCTGCTGCTACTGATGCTACTACTACTGCTACTACTACTGATACTACTGATACTGCTACTACTACTACTACTAACACTACTGATACTGCTTCTACTACTACTACTACTACTACTACTGCTGCTGCTACTGATACTACTACTGCTACTACTACTACTACTGATACTGCTTCTACTACTACTACTACTACTACTGTTGCTGCTGCTGCTACTGCTGCTGCTGCTGCTCCTATTGCTGTTCATAATCATAACGTTCTGTACCGTCTCTGGCTAAGAGAATTTGATCCCATAAGTTGTTGCGGATTATTTAAGCTGATGAAGTTTTTGCAAGGAAAATCAGCGCTGTGAAGAGTTGTGTTTACCGGGATATAACGCTGTGTGGTCCGCCGCTATCTTCCAGAAGATAGACTTCTTCATAATGACCTCTGTGAACGCCTCAAATCCTGCATGAACAGCGCTGCTTTTTTGTTAGTAAGTTTTCTATAAATAACTTTACTATCCACTCTTCCCCGGATGCGCAAATGAATATGATTTTACAGTGTGTATATACACGAACTTACAGCGTTTGGCAGTGCCAGCCAAGACACCAATCATGATTTAGAGATTTCCATTGAAGCTGCCCACTCTGTAGTTGAATGGAAACATCTGCATGCACAGGAAAGCTGCCTTTGCCCTTTTGGCAAAATTTCAAACATAAAAGTTGGTGCTATAGTCTGAGGGAAATGGAATGAGAAATACAAAAGCAAGCAAACTAGGTTGGCCATGCGGTGGGGCCAACCAAAACTCTATATTGTAAACCTCTAGACTATAAATACTCGTTACGTAAACACAGAAGGACAACTTATCTCTTCTTCTAACGATTCGTGAAATTCTGGTAGCTGTTTTCTTTAATTAATTAATTTGATGCAAAGCAGAACAGGGTGGGACCTCACCTGCGCGATACGCGTCACGAGACGGTGGCTTCAGGCTGCTTTGCCGCTCACGAATTCTTAATTCTCTTATCTTGAGCTTACTTGAGGAACAGTGTAACATTTGTATTTGTTTACTTGAGCTTCAACAACTTGAGTTTGGCTCAACATCTCCTACACCTTATGCAAATAACAAGGCAAAGTATCTTGAGCATTACATAATTTGTCTAAATCGAAACAATAAACGTATCTATTTTGAGGGTGAAATTTTCTTACTCTAATTACAGAAGACCAAGCCTTCCAATTTCAAGTCCAACGTCGAACTTCGAGAGTCATCTATTGACTTGTGAACCAATAAGACAATGGAGCAGAACTATATCGCTTAAATTAGTTTAAAGTACCTTTCCACCGTTCTGATGTATTTACATCGTGTTAAGTAGATATGCTTAAACGTTCATATCCCGTGGACGGGTTCACCTAAACATCACTTATATTTGGCAGAAGTGGTGAGTGTGAGCCCTTGCAAAAATTAAATTACTTACATACAATTCGCATGATTCCTCAATTGTTTATATATCTGCATATTTCTGATTGGATCCATGTTTAGAATCATACCTTTCAAATTATCTAAATTTCGTATATATAGAATAATTATTATTGAGTTGCAAACCATACCTGAAACATACTTCTATATAATTCATGAGTCTGCTCTGTCGTTAACAAGAAGTAAAGTTATCCCTCTAACAGACCATGGAGGCCCATAGGTTTGTGAGACGTCGAGGCTCCCACATTTTTTAGAAAATCGGCTCAGCGCCGGCCTCCCTTTACGTCCAACAAAGATTCCTCATAGTCATTTCTATTAGAGGCTGAGTCGATCCCAGGGCCATAGTGCGGCTGGAAGGATTAGGTAAATTGAAAATTCAGTGATCTGATGAGGAATCGAACCCGTGACCTTCCGGTTTGTACCATAGTGCCTCAAACTAACAACCCTACCGCTACCCCTGTGGCCGATAGTAAGCATATTGAACTAAAATGTGTTCCTCTTGTACAGTTTTAATGAGTGATAAAAAGCATGAAGGGTGGAGTGGGCTAGAAATGTAGCACGCATGGCGAGATGAGAAATGCATAAAACATTCTGAGCAGAAAACCTGAAGGGAGGGGACCACTTGGAAGATCTAGGAATCGATGGAATAGTAACGCTAAAATTGATCTTAAAGAAATAAATAAAGGCTAAGGACCAGTGGCGGATTATTGTGAAAACGGAAATAAACCTTCGGATTCCATAACAGGTATAGAATTTCTCGACTAGTTGAGCGACTATCAGCTTATCAAAACGCATTACTCAGTGAAGTTATTTATTTACTTACTCACTGAGCTGTGTCTCATATATACGCCCACATAATCCATATTGCTGCTGTATCAATAGGCCTGGTACAGTCACGTGTTTTTAAGAGCTGCTATAGGGTTTTTTGACGAGCCTATAGAAATCGATTTTGTTGATACGCGAAGTACACTTCATTGGATATAACTTAAGACAATTTCCTCTCTGACTTACACAACTTCACAACGGCAATCGTGGCGTAAGTTGAGAAGAATCTCACACAAAATTTTATGTTTATATTTCATACTAAGTAAGATATTCAGTATTCATTCCTAAATGGTTCTGGTGGTAGTGTAGTGTGCATTTAGCATTACAGTCCGACTTCTCGAGTCTAGCACCCTGTGGACCGGCCCGGAGCCGAACCAGATAATATTTCGAGACGTCAGTGGCAAATACATTAGAATAACAAAGCACCTGGATAAAACACCGTAACTTTGTATGTTATATTAAATTGAGTACGTTAGAATGAGATAATTAAAATGTTTCCCTTCCTCATGGACCCATTCATCCAAGATATGGGATTAACTCTTTCTAAACAGCCCATATGGGTAAGCACCTTCAACCTGAGAACAAGAGCAGGTTCAACTGTAGAAATTTCCTATTCTCTCTCGGGATCTCGGAAGATTGGCAAAATTGTGACGTAACTAAATAAGCAGTTTTACTTAAATAAAACACTTTCCACCGAGCAAAGATTACCAATAAGGAATGTGTCCAGCAAAGTGCCTTACCGGCATTTCTGCAGATCAGGCAATAACCAGAAACCTTCAACACAAACGCGGAACGTACAAAGAACTGAAGAACTTGATGTCTTCCGGCCGACTGACAGCGGGTTACACCCAGGCCAAGCTTTTTCTGTGCTCTCCTGGCATCAGTCTGGAAAAATACTCTCTCTCTCTTCCTCTCCGCGGCGTCGTCATATGCAAGGGCGTCCCGATGCTACAGCAGTACTAGGGACGGGAGAGATTGGGGAAAACCCGAGGAGAGCAAGGCGAGAGGAGAGGCGGATAGGGATCCTAAATATAATGTTCTTCCTCCTACAGAACGCTTCATCCATGTTCTCTCTTGCGTAACCACCAACTCTCCCCCCCTCCCACGAGAAGGCGTTAATGCTCTTTTCAGTATCCACGACGAGGTCTCCATCTTGTAGAGCAGAGTTCCAGTAAATTTACACTACAGCATAACATTTTATAATAATTGCATTATTTAATCGAAATTCAGAATGTATGAAACGTATGAGGACTGCAGACGGCCCTCTTAGACCATCTTCTTCCCTTCAGGATAAAAGCAGACTTAAGACTTTAACATGTCCGTGTATTTCATGAATGTTGCTATAAGCCTTATCCCTGTGCCACAGGAGACAACCCGAGCGTCGTAATTTCTAGTTTTGATCTGGAGTATCAGTAAGGGGCCGGAATACCTACTGGCTACGGACTGGACGACCGAGCGGTTGGAATTCGAGTCCCGTTAGAGGCAAGAATTTTCTTTTCTCCATGTCGTCCAGACCGACTCTGGTACAAGAGATTCCTGGTACTCATTTGTGTTAGAGGCTGAGTAGACCCCAGGGCCATAGTGCGGCTGGAAGGTTTAGGTCAATTGAAAAATCCAATGACTTTATCGGGACTCGAACCACGACCTTCCGGCTTGTAGTATTATTGTTATTATTCTTAGTGGAGTGGGACTAAGTCCACTTGATACTGCCACAACTACTGGCCTACTGTACCAGCCCCAGATGATAGATGATGATGATGATTGTGGAGCAATTGGTGGAATGAAGATTGGCCGGGGAAACCTAGCCCGGCACCAGTATGTCCACCACAGATCCCCATGACCAGACCCGAACTCGAACCCGATCCGCCGCGGTGGGAAGCCAGTGACTAACAGCCTGAACCATGGCTTATAGCTTAGTGCCTCAACCAACTACGCTACCGCATTCCTGGGAGGTAAAGGGCAGCCGGCTCGTAAGGCTAACAAATTCACCGTCATCTGTGAACCGATTGTCTAGATAATGTGGGAGCCTCGACGTCTCACAACCCTATGGGCCTTCGCGGCCTGTTACAGGGATAGCTTTACATTCCTTTTTTCTTTTTTTTTTGTACAATAGATAAATGTCGCTATCGCCCTATGTATGTATGTATGTATGTATTTATTTATTATTACGGCTCCGCCTTTTAGCCGATTACTAAAATCTATTGTTATAATTAAATTGTATTCAATCTGCAAACAAGAACAACACAAGTAGGTTCTAAAGGACTGGGTTTAGCTCTTTCTAAGGGGCCCAGCAGGGTAGGTGTCTCCCACACCCTCACCTGAGGACGGACACACACCCAGTTTCCCGAAGAGTTGTGTCCTGTAATGTTCTTTAGCATACCCGTCGATGGACAAAATCCTGAAAGCCATTAATCCCCACCCTAGGAAAATACACTTAGTGTACTCGTAACATAGAAAATTTTACCGTTGAATTTCCAACGGGTGTTACATTAGAGGTTATGGGCGTAGAAGGGAGTTATTAGTTCATAATAACACATGTAGTGAAGTAACCTGTCTGTTCTATCCAGAATTCCTGGTTACACTTTGCACAGAAAACGCGTAAGAACTAATTTGATCGTGTCTTTGGCGCCCGTTGGTAAACACCATAAACTACACGCTGAACATGGCGAGCCGAGACATTACACAGACTTATTCGTACCCCACACTCTGTTTTACAGAAGTTGTCACTGTAAAACAGAGTTTGAAATTAAAAGCATATATATTGCAGAACAACTTACAGTAGAATATTAAGGTACATTATTATGAATTACAACAAAAGGCGCTCAAATATTGCATCTGTTGAGTTAGCCATGTATGTTCTTTTTCCTTCCGAAAGAACTGTAATGTAACGTTAGAACTGGTTAAGCACTACGCCATAAAGACCTATGGGATAATGGAAGGATAGCTCCCCCATTCTTGACCTCAGCACTGTATGGTGGTGAGTGGTCAGCTTCACGCCCCTACTGCTTTATACCCGGGGAAAGAACCCTCGGTATCCATTGGATAGAATGCAGGTTGGGCCTTAGTGTCAGTCTAGTCGTTTTTGAAAAAAAAAAAAAGGTAAAATTGTTGCTGTACATAATTAAGTAACACATCCTGAAGATGTAAGGAGGAGCAGAAGTACATCTCCACGTGTTCTTAAGTGCGGCACTAAATGGAGGTGAGTGGCTGACTTAGAGCCCCGCTGGGTACAAGTCGGTTGTGCTGCAGAGGCGGTCTGGAGGCTGTAGTGAAGTGAATAGCCTCTTGTCTCTGCCAGTAATCGAACCCTTATCTGTAAGATTTGAGGTTTTCACGGCGGTGACTATGAAGAATGCCTTCTTCTGGGATGTGACACCGTGTAGATATTTTGTTAACCGATGTTTCGGCGGATCATATCTCCTCCATCTTCAGGGTATAAGAAATCCGCGATCGATGAACTGGCGTGAGCAAGGTTATCGCTTGCGGATTTCTTATACCCTGAAGATGGAGGCGATAAGATCCTCTGAAACGTCGGTTAACAGAATATCTACACGGAGTCACATCCCAGAAGACGGCATTCTTGGAACCCATATTTCTCTGTCATCCAGCACGTAGCGTGATCACAATACAGACTGAAGTACCCCAGCTTGCAGATATCAGCTATTTCTGTAGGTCTGAACTAAATGTCTGGAGTATGAGGTGTGGATTTAATAGCTGCAATCGCAAACCAGAATCACTCGCAGTTTCTGTCTCCCGGATTGGTTTGTCTGTTACTATTTCTGGCCTGAGTTTAGACAAACGAAGCCATATCCATTAAATTACCCAACCATCGTATAAAATTCCCATTGTCCATTGGGCCCTAAGCTAATGAAGGTAAATATAAACGTATTCATAGCTTCATTTATTTTCACACTGCGCCATGAAAGAGGAGCCGGGATAGCGGCTGGCTACGGGCTGGACGACCGAGTGGTTGGAGTTCGAATCCCTGTAGGGTCAAGAATTTTTTCTTCTCCACGTCGTCCAGACAGACTCTAGGGGCCCACTCAGCCTCCTATCCAATGGCTTTTTCCCCGGGGTGTAAAGCGGAGGGGCGTGAAACTGACCATTCAACCTCCAACTAGTGCCGAGGTAAAGAGTATGTGGATCTTTACATCACTCCCGCGTACGCCTTCATGGTGTAATGATTGCTTAGTTAAGCAAAGGGGACAATTTTACTTTTTACTTATTAACGTCATGAAGACGTATGGAGCAGTGGATGTGTTGCTCCACATGTTCGTAACTTCGGTCTTAGAGACACACTAGTTATGAGCTTCACGCCCCTGCCGCTTTACCCCAGGGAGATACAGCCCCACGCACAGAATATATAGGAGACTATACGGACCCCAGATCTAGCTTGGACGCTATGTGGAAACGAATAATCTCTTCCCTCTGTCGGGAATGGAACACAGATCCCTCGATTCTCCGACCCGTACTCTTCCTTCAAGGTCTATTTTAGCATCTTCACATATCTCAAGATTCTCACTCAAAAATTTGGATGCGTGTTATATTTTCATGTGTGTGCTGCATGTCCCTGTCATCTCATCTTTTGTTTGAACTTTAAAAACGACACTAAAATCCTTGGGGGGTAAAGGATTTCTTCGTTCATGCCATCGTGTCATGTGCACATGTGAGGTACCATGGAATATTAAGGTTACAGGGGACACGCGGTAGCGTAGTAGGTTGAGGCACTATGCTACAAGCCGGAAGGTCGCGGGTTCGAGTCCCAGTGAGGTCATTAAATTATTTCAGTTTACCTAATCTTTCCAATCGCACCATGGTCCTGGAGTAGACTCAGCCTCTAACATAAATGAGTACCAAGAATCTTCCTGGGGGGGTAAAGGGCGGCCGGCTGTTAAGGCTGACAACCTTACCGCCATCTGTGAGCCGATTGTCTAGAGAAAATGTGGGGTAGTCTACGTCTCACAACCCTATGGGCCTCCACGTCCTGCTACAGGGAATTATGCAGCCAAAAAGCGAAAGTTTCCTTCGAAGCTTTTACGATGGAAACACTTTCTAATGTTTTCTTGGGCCATCAGCTCTGTCAATGGTGACTTAAACGACGCCTCCACCATCAGGGTCAAAGTTCAAGTAGGTGGAGGAGAATTGTGAAACGTTTGATTTTACTAAACAGCGACACGGCTGATCGATGGCAGAGATTTTAGCACGAGAATTTCCCTATCGGTCAGTCAATCTCTACAGCTCTTAAAGCAGTAATCAGCAATAACACATCTCGTTCACTGCAGGTCCAGTAGCTACGTGTACTGGGGCAAAGTGGAGAAGAGTACTGCATTGTACGGTCATTGCGTTTCCGTTAATAACAGTGCGGTATCGTGAAGATTCAGTCGTGTTCCTTGTCCCCTCGTATTAATAAGGAAATATGCAAAAAAAAAAACCGAATAAAAATTTAAGGGTTTCCGTGGCACAAACAAATGTTTTTATTATTTCACTCAGAAAATGTTTATGCCCAGACAGACTATCACCAGGCGATACATGAGAAATTTACAATTGACGATGCAATTCTGTAAAATATCATCTGAGACTTTCGAACGTGCTTCAGAGGATTTTTCGACCCACTTGTATACCGTTGTACGCGACGAACACTTCTCATCGGAAACAGGAAACATTTCTTTATGAATATCCTTAACATTCAATCCTTTTCCCAAAAAGAACACCACAACAGAAAGCTGCTCTTCGTTAGTATAACCTCAAGCACAGTCGCCATTTTGCCAACTAAAATGAGCCTCTGAACATGCGCATGCGCGTCTAATATCTAGACTGTCGTGAAGCTGAACTGTGCTGGTACCTTACTT